AGAGCAAGAAGCCGGAAGAGAGTTTGACAAATGTTAAGTACGAGAGAAGAAACTCTTAGCATAGAACTTACGGTTACATCTTGCCATTTCAACTGTATAATAATGAGACCTAGTTGTCAATCGAGTAGAGCGTTTAAATTCGTAAAGTCGATGTAGCAAAGAGTAAAGTTCATCAGATATTTTTTTCCGTGGGTTAAGCTGTTCAAAGTGGTTTTTACAGGCTTCCAGAGAATTTATGTTCTTCCCATCAAGAGAATTATGTAGGGATCTAAATTAGCGGTAACCCGAACAATTCGTGTCAGGTGAGTATGGCGCGTGTAGTGGTGCATCTCAGGCAAACTGCATCAATTTCTATGGGGTCGGCAAAAAGACGCGAGATTTGGCGTTGTCCTGATGTTCGATTAGTCATTTTTTTTTACATTGCTGCCTTTAACCGGTTCAAATGGGAACAGTTCTTCTATTATATACCGCGTCTCTTCAGGACATAGGCGATAGTGGCTCTCCATGATTTCCTATCTTGTGTGGCCTTAGCAGTTTTTCTCCTTTTTCTAAGGATCCCGCCCGTGTTCCTCCATCCATTCACCCATTCGCACGAAATCGTCAGGTAAGTTGCTCGATGCCTTCCCTTGTCTCTTTTGCCCTCAATATGCTCCGTGTGACTTGGTTTATTTTTAATAAGCGTTTCGATTAGATCATCATCAACGCCTGCCGGCTTACCAGATCGTTCTGAGTCCTGGGTAAGACGATAAACTACATCTGGTAGCAAGGCCTCTGGTTGGGAGGTTTTGAGGAGCGTGCATTAACCTCTTAATTGCTGTTGTTCACAGGTCCACCCTGACCTGGGGTGGTAGCACCTGTTAGGGTTCCAGCTACGGGCAAATAGTGAACCCTCAAACCGAGTTCAGAAGATTATGATTGTATAAAAATATACTTTTGTACTAAGAATACAGACAATAGATTTTCATATTTAAAAAAAAAATTGCCCTCAATACGTTATTGTAATAGAAACAGAAAATTTACCAAAGGTCCGCCAAAAATTAAATTTCGGCATGAAATTACCCATAAGGAGTTGGTGTGCCGTTAAACAAACCAAACCAAACCGGGTCGTCCTCGGTGATTCACGAAACAGACGAACTATTTTCGATCAGTTTCGATCTCAGTGATGACCTCTTCTCCATAAACGGCACATATTTTCATTTTGGCGTTTGTAGCATCAAATGAGGCAAAAGCATCCCCTTTTCCTTCATTTCAAAACCACAATCCATCCATGTATCGTATGGAAAGACGCGTTGAAATTTCATTTTTCAGAATATATACCAGAATATATACCCAGTATATCAAAAATACTTTTACAAACTTTGGGGGCAGGTCCCGCATATGAAAACAAGGACAAAAGTTTGTAGAGGACCGAGTGAGTTTGCGTGTTGTTTAGTTTAGGAACACGTGCTATTTATTCCTGCTGGAAGTTCCAACTACAAGAACAATGCGGGCTCAAGTTGGGTCCAACCGAAGATGTAAAGGAGACCGATGTATATATATATAAACACATATATGTATTAAACAACAAATTTACAAGTGACAATGACATCAACATTTGTATTTGTGTGTGAACGTAAAGAGTTTGTATATTGGTGAATGTCCGTACGAACGTGTACATGTGTTTCATGGCGTTTTCCCACAAGTGGGCGAAAACGCGGATCTCTACGAGAGATCACATTTTTAAATGTGTCTGCTGAAATGCAAAATGAAAAGAGGCAAGAAGTCGCCCAGTATTTATAGTGTAGGGAGTGCGTCCCCTAGTGAACAATTAGGGAATTAAGGAGGAGTTAACTCCGACTAGTCCATATAAATATATGTCCGCAAATCCTTACTTTTTGAGATATTAAGTTTAATAACGGTGTTGACAGTAAGACAAGCTTACATTTTTCATTCGTATACATTTATGGCTAGTCCGTCTTCGAGGTTTAACATGTGTACTAATGGGTTAACTGAAAAGAGATCGGTTTAAAAATGGCAGGGATAATCTGATTTTTATATACGATCGCGCGAATGGTAATGGACGCGAGGCTGCACTGCTGTATCACATTACGTTTCCAGATCGAAGGCAGCCAAATCATCCAGCTTTTGCTGCTATTTATCGTCGCGTTACTAAGACTGGATCCGTGGCACCACAAACTATGGATCGAGGAAGACCGAGATCCGCTCGTACGCCTGACCACGAAGAACACATTCTACAGGCTGTCGGAGACGATCCTGGTATCAGCACACGTCAAGTGGCCTTAGCATGTAGTACATCTCATAGTACCACATAGGGGGTACTTCAAAAGCAGCTCCTGTAACCGTATCATTTGCAACGTGTGCAGTTTTTTCCACCCTCTGATCTCTCACGACGAGAGAACTTGCTGATGGCGTATTGCACAAATTCAAGTTGGATTACGGATGAGGCAACATTTTGAAGAGATGGAATATCAAATTTGTACAACCAACATTTGTGGGCAGATTGGAATTACCATGGTACAATACACGTGAGACATCCGAACTGGTTTACGTTTAATGTGTAGGCAGTAATTGTTGGTGACTGATAGGTCCATACGTTCTCCAAGCACGTCTTACAGGAGCTGTCTAAAGGGACTTTATTTCGAACACACTTCCAGACCTGTTAAAGGATGTACCTCTGCTAATACGAAAACACATGTGATTCTTGCCTGATGGGGCTCCAGCAGATTTTAGTCATATTGTTCGCGATATACTGGCTGACATCTACCATGAAAGATGGATACCTAGACGAAGACCGATTACATAGCCTGCGCGTTTCCACGGACTCACTCTTTGGATTTTTATTTGTGGGGCCACTATTGGTTTATGCAGCAGAGATTAATAACGCAGAGACGCTTCAACATGTCATGGGGGCCTGCGAAAACATTCGACACCGTGTGGGAGTATTTGGAAGGGTCCCACAGTCAATGAACCGAGGGGTTCATGCGTGGTTAGAAGCAATCGGAGAACATTTTGAACATTTGTTATGAGTGGCTGTGTTGAGGTACACCGATGGCCTTTTGGACATATGTTTATGTTGTGGTGTGCTCCGTCTAATTAGGCTATTGTGGACTCTTCCATTTACTATAGTAGGAAAGTAAAGCCTCGTGTGGAACAGTGATATAAACTGTTCAACTGTCGAACTCTCTGCCTTGAGCAGAGAGGAACCGGGACGAGGCTTTTTTCGTCCGGGGAGGTAGACAGGCCGTGAACCTGTTTATGCAGGTTCTAAGGGAATATTTTTGGCTGAGCCTACGGGCTCGGAAAAATAACAGTAAACTCGGCTTTGTGCCACATACATCCCTCGTGGGGGGCTATTAAATATTAACAGTGATATAGACTGAACGCTGGTCAACCGACACACACTCCCAAGTCGTGTAACACACTTCTGTTGTATTTACTGTTCCATACACTATTTATCTGCAACTTCTTGTTTTATTATTTCTTAACCATTACTTGGTCACAACAGTTTATATGGACATTTTACCTGGTTTTGGTGTTAGGAGCCCGCTCGCAAAGTTTGTAAAAGTATTTTGAATTGTATCTCGGGTTGTAACATAAACTTTAAGGTTAATAACTCTCAAACGAAGGATTTGCAGACTTTTGTTTATATGGACTTTTGTCCTTGTTTTGGTGTGAGGAAGCCGCCCCACTTTATCACTTTAAACGTTATTATTTGTGGATACTCACAATTGAGTAAACGTTTCTTTTATTTATTAAAGAGTACGTTTATTTATTTTTTTTCGAATCCTGCCGGAAAGAGCACATATTTCTTTAATAAGATTTCTCGAAGATTCAAGCCGGTAGACGAAAATAAATATACTGTTTAAAAATAAACGAAGCATCTATTCAAATACATTTACCTTTTTTCTCTGACGATCTACTTTTATGACTAATATAAACATTACGCGCTCCAAAAGAGATTTTAACGAAATTTCATGAAATCAAGTAAGTGTATGCGTGGGGATAACAAATGTAAATAATATATATTTTACAAAGAATTTCTAAAAAAAAAAAAAAAAAAAAAATAGATTTAAAAATTCATTTCTGAATAAGTCCTGAAAGTTTCATTAAAATCCGACAATTATCTGATTTTTGCAATAACTTCCAAAAACCAAATCAGTTAGTCTTGCCCCGCAAAAAGATGTAAAAATCTCGCTAATTTATGGTAAAACGTTGACATTGGAGAAACAAGATTTTTAATCTAAATTTCGAAGGTTCTAAAGAAGATTAAAAATAATTTTTTCATAAAAAAATCCTTTGATCTTTCCTTTGTTTTTATTAAGTTTTGAGCGTTTTTTTTATCGTGTATGCTCATTTTTTTTTAGCGAATCAGTGAAGGTATAAAAACAATTATTGAGTTGTTTGTGTTTATTAAACTTAGTACACATTTGTTTACGCCAACGGCACCGAGCAAAGTACATTCGTATGTCGACTACTGAGAGGAAGGCATCATTTGTTAGAAAGTGAAACAACCCGAGCTGCTAGAAGCTTGTTACGTGTCCGACTGGATTTGTGGCAATTGAAAACGTTGCTTTTAATTTGTGCGTGTGTATATTCTATAACTGTCTGATCTGTTAAGTTTGATAGATTTCTTCATAAATTGATAAGTTCTAAATGATAAATTAATCTTCAAAATAGCTAGCGACTATCTATCTATCTATCTATCTATCTATCTATCTATCTATCTTTTATAGCACAAAAATGTCGATGTGGATTAGCCTATTGTCTTTCCTAAATATGATAATCTCACTAGGCATTTGTTGTTCGAGAATTATATATATATATATATATATATATATATATATATATATATATATATATATCTTTCTTTTAATTCTGTCACTTTGATTTTTCTTTCTTTATATTTTCTTAAATTCTTTGCTTTTCAATTTCTTTCTTTAATTCTGCATTAATGAAAAAAATAAAAGGCCTGTTCAACAATGGTTGAAATAATAAAATAGCTGGACCTAACTAACTGCTATCTATCTATCTATCTATCTATCTATCTATCTATCTATCTATTTATCTATCTATCTATCTGTTTATACAGTAGGAAGTGCGTAATTACCTTCCCAACTCAAACTAGCCTAGTGGCGAATTTTTATTGAGCATAATGTTGACAGCAGTCGCACAAAATGTGGGATTGTCCCGCATTTTGATGTGTCGTGACTCAGTTCATTTGGGACACGTTTTTGTCCCGCATTTTGAGAATCGTTGTTTGTTTGTTATTTTTTATTTTATTTTTAATTATGCGTACATTTTGCTTTTTTTGAAGACAATTTTTTTTAATTTCTTCGTTTGATGTTTTCATGTTTTATTCCAAAGAATGTTTAAAATTTCCGGTCTTGAATGAGTGCCTGCCAGCGTGAAAAATGCACAAGAAATGCATCGAAGATCGAAGATGCATCGATGGTAGTTTCATTATCGAAAAGAAAATGAAATAATGATTTTTCATAATGTTTTTCTTAAAATATAAATCTGACTTACGGCCATATAGCGTTGAATCATCGGTTCCCATACGATCACCCAAGTTAAGCAACGTCATCTCAGTCAGTACCTAGATGCGGGATGGCTTGGGAATACCAGGAACAGTAAGCTAGGGTGTGCGGGTGGTTTATTGAGAACGGTTCGTAATTGTTAATCAGAGAGTCGAGTTCCAATTCCCGTTGAGTATATATTCACTTACGAGCAAATACACTTGAGAAAGGTATGAATGCACCCTTTCTCCCCCAACTATGTATTAATTAGTAAGACTTTTACCACTAAATTGTTATTATCTACCAAAAGATTCTTGCAATTATACAAATATGTTCTGGCTTTAAATAACCTGTAAATGATTGATAAGTGGTAGAAAATGTATCAATAATGATTTAAATTTAATTCTGTTTCAGTCTAAAATTCTAAGTGAACTGTTATATTTCACAGTCTGTATATTATCCTTGAATAACATAGGAATTCCTCAATATCTCTATGATTATGATAGTATTATGATTTTTTACATTATTATTAGAACAATCTAACTCGGTGGACGAAATAAAGGGTTCGATCCAAAATTCCAATCATCTGAGGAAGGCAGGCGGGTGCAACAGCCGAAGCGTTGAGAATATGGCAATGAAGATGAAGATAACAATTCGAATAGTGTAAATAATGTAAATAATAGAACTTCCTGTTGCTCAAAAAGTATCAAACTGATTTAATTCTGTTTAAAGGAGTCTGCGGGCCCTGTGGTTGGGAACATTTTATTAGGGTCTACTGTTCCTTCCTTTTTTTACACAGTCTCCTGATTCACATTTTCATTTTAGGCAGTTGACAATTTTAATTGATCAGGTTTAGCATAGTTTGACACAACGCCATATATATAGGGTATCAATTTTCACTACTGAACTGTTACGTGACATCTGTCCTCCTCTATAGCAGCGTAAGCTGGGCAATCTCCTCAAAGATGAAGAAGAGACTTGAAGCAACAGAAAAGTGGTTCTACAGAAAGATGCTGAGGATACCATGGGCCAAACACGTGAACAACGACGAAGTTTTGGAGAGAATGAAAACAAAAAGGAAACTTATACTTAATATCAAGAAAAGGCAGTTGAACTTTTTCGGATACGTAATGGGAGGCTTGGAAAACCTGATACTCAGAGGACAGATTGAAGGAAACAGGGAAAGAGGAAAGCAGCGTGTAACATACTTGATGAGCTTGATTTTGTCGATGGCAGAACAGAGTTTGGGATAAATAATAAAAGACAAAATATTAAGAGCTACAAACAGGAAGATGTGGAGAGCTATGATCGCCTAAGTCCTGAAGAGACACGACACATACAAGAAAACGAGTAATGTATGCGTGGCTTTTTTGTTAACCATCACACAACAATGAAGTTATCTTACTCGCTATTTACCCAGCTAAAACCAGAAAGCGTTTAATGACATCTGACATTTACTTGATGTTCTCTTAAGTTGAAATGATAGCAGTTCAAAATTAAACGTCGATCGCAATTAACAAATAAGAGACCTCTTAAAGTATTACTGAATTCATAAAAAATCAAATAAAATATGAAATAATCATATGTTTTTATTTAAGAGCACCCAATATGCAATCTTGAATATCTACCTGATGATACATTGAAAATGTTTTTAAAACCCTAAACTATCATCAATTTGTTAAGTGCTACACGCTTAGACGACGACGATTCAGGACTGACTAGGCAGAAGGTTTTCTAACACTAGGTTGCTTTTTTCCCACGCTAGGTTTTCCAATCAATGCTATTGAATCCAGGCTTTTCTCCTATTCAACATTAGAAAAGATGGATTCACATTTTTCTCAATGTTATTTATGCATAAGTGAATATGAAAGCACGGTGGAGTAATAAATAGCGGCTGGAATTGGAGAGGACGAGTTCGGATTCTAGTTCATTACATGTACTTACTTGCTAATACATTTAACGCTATGAATTCATAACTCCTACACTAATTACCAGGATAGACTAGGTTCTATAGCGTTGAGTGGCAGTCGTCCGAAAAAAAAGGACAATTCAAAATCTGAGAAAAATAATAGACTAGCCTCTATTGCCTTGGTTGGCAACCAGTGTAGGATAAGGAAGACTCCGAATTCAAATCAGCCTGTAGAGGGTTGGGCTCAGTCAGGCCAGCTTGCTCAGAAAATATCATTACTATTGCAGTAAATGCGGTGCCCTTAATGGGTTACGGGACATATGAATTTTAATGAATCAGACAGGAATTCGAACTCGTCTCTCATTCTGACTCGTTATCCATTACACCACACGTTCATCCTAAACTATCATAATCATTTTATCACTAGGAAGATAAAAAGAAAGTAACACAAAAACCGAAAAAGAAAGTACGAACGCTAGAACAAAACGTAGGCTCATTATTTTTGCTAATAATTCTTTGTTTGGTTAGTGGCACATCAACTCCTCATGGGTCATTTAATGCCGAAATTTAATTTTCTTGACAGCAATAGTAATTTCTTTTACAAAAATGTATTGCTGGTAATTTTACTATAAATATATATTTTTATACTTTCATAGTATTTTGACCTCTGTTTGGAGTTCACAGTTGGGACCATAACAGATGTTACCACCTCGGATCAGGGTGGACCTAGAACCAAAAGTATTTAAGAGGTGGTTCCACTCTCCTCAAACCTCCAATCTCCTGATCACAGGCCTTGCAACTGAGTGTAATTTATTGTCGTACCCAGGACTAACATAATAATCCCATAACTGATAAACTTTAACGATTCTCATTATAAACATTATCTAAAACTGTCCAAAAGGAATTTAAAATAATAAATTCAATGTTAAGCATAATTAATTTTGCGCCAGAAATAGGATTTTACCAAAGAAATGTACCAAATAACAGAAGCCACATCACTTGAGAACTACCAATAGCAGCCACAACTAAAATGGATAGCACATGTAACTCATAGAGAAAATGATGACATAATCAAGATGTTAACATTCCACATCACTTCAATAAAAGGTTAGGAAGGAAACTTCGCATCGGTACTGGGAAGAGCGATAACATCTACAGGAATTGAGAAAGCTATTTTCCTAATTGTTTTAAGAGAAGGATTTTATAAATTTCAACCGAAAGCAGTTCTAGCTGCTAGGTCAAAGAATGCCAAATGTTTCCTTATAGGGAAACATTTAATATTAGCATTACCAATATCAAACAAAATGTAAACAACATCTTCCAAAATACAATGGTGAGAGATTGTAAGGTTTGAAGAGAATACGATTATAAAGTTGAAGAAAAGGGATTTAAAATAGAACAACACAATCAAGGCACTTGAGTAGCACTGAAAACGTCGTATTATAATTTAGCACAATCAAGGCACCTCAACGTCGTTTTAATTAAATAAATAAATACAAAAAAAACAAAAACAAAACAAAATAAAATAAAAAAAACAAAACAAATGAAAAACGGAATATTATTTAGTCAGACGAAATGCTTTGAAAAAGCAATGGTCTCTAAGTGTTCCCAGCGATAAGACTGCATTGTTTTAGTTTATCCCTTATTCTTAGTAAATTAATATCCAACCAGCATGGGATTTGTATTCTTTGAAATAAAATTAATAAGGGGAATAAAAACAACAACAACAAAAAACATTAACTAATAAAATAAGAGGTTTACGGTCATATCACGTTGAAATACCGGTTCCTGTACAGTCACCCAAATCAAGTAACGTCCTTAGTAGCTAGATGGGTGATCGCTTGGGAATACCAGGTGCGGTAAAATTGGATGTGTGACTGGTGTAATGGAATTCTTAATCGTTGTATTTCCTTGCAAATACCTTTAAGAAAAGTATAAATCCAGCAATTCTCCCCCTAACTATGGGAAAATTAGTAAGACTTATACCACTGAACCTTTATTATCGATCTCTCTTAAAAAAACATAACGTGTAAAAATACTTCGTTGCTTTAAATAACCTTCAAAGGGTTGATAAACCGTAGAAAATGAATGAATGAATCAATCAAATACTGATTAGCTACACAGGTATGTCATTTAGATTTATTTACATTTTCTGGAATATAAATGTATAGAAACTACTGTGGACACAAAGTCAGGGGTCAATTTATTGATTATTACTGAATTGATCCCCCAATTTATATCCATATGATAATTTCTTGTTTGTTTATCAAATTCAGATTAGGTATGAATTCACATATTCTCCACCCTATATATGGGTTAATTAGTAAGACTTGTATAACTAAACCATTATTACCTGAAAAAAATTCTTGCAATCTAAAAATATTTCCTGAATTTAAATAATCTGCAAAGGGTTGATAAGCCGTAAAAAACGAATCAATCATTCGAATAAAATAAGAAAATAAAAGTAAAACTTTGTTGAAGTGAGTTAAAATCTAATTTCCATGACGATACAGTTTCGAGTAAAATGAAAGCGTTCATCCCCTTAACGTGTTTCATATTTTGTCTCACTAATGAAGATTTCCTTTTGTGAAATAAAATATATTTTCTGATGAAGTCGTTTCACTGGCGAAACATGTAAAAATAACAATTTTGAAAATTGTCTTATATATTTACAATTGTGCGGGATTCACGACAAGAGTGAGTATTTTGAAACGTACTAAAATAATTAATATGCGTATGAAACGATAATAATATGTTTAAAATATTTGATACGCTAGGTTTTGCTGATGAGACAGCAGGGAACTTCTTAGTCAGGCTCAATCGGTGGCGGCTTGCTGCTCTACCTTGTACGGGGTAGCGAGCCAGCGATCGGTCGGTCGGTACAAGGTGTATTTCTGAGCGCTTTCGGTTATACATTTAGCGATTATCAAGAATGATTATATTTTTACTTTTAACCTCATCTGCAACATATTTGTTAATAATAATAATATAATAATCTCATCCACATTTTAAGAAAGGCTAAAAATAATGGAAGCATTATTGCCAACACTCAATAATATCAATTATGAACACGGCCACAATGTGCTGACCGTGTTTGGAAAATGAAACATTCTTAATATAACTCTAAATACATTCAGTTAAAAATAAATAATGATAATGTCTAAAAATGGAGCTGCAAGTGCTCGCACATACAAAACATTTAGACAATTTCTACATAATTTAAGTTTAGAAAAGAAGAAAATTTTAAGAACACAAGAAAAATTAAATAAAGAACTTAACCGTAGTACCTTGTTAGTCGTTTTTAATGAAACTTGTATAAAATAGGAATTGCTGCCCAAATAAACTATTATATATATTCAGCGGCGGACTGTCCCATAGGTATAAAATGAAATTTCTCGGTGCCCCCCAAAGTGATTTGTCTAAAACCTTTACTTTTATTTTATTCTTTTGACAACATTTTTTGGGGTTAGTGGGTCCTTTTGACTGTGCCTTTTTTTAAGTTTTCCCAGGTAGAATCTTTCAACCCAGTCTGCCACTAATATATATATATATATATATATATATATATATATATATATATATATATATATATATATATATATATATATATATATGCGTGTGTCTGTGTGTGTGTGTGTATCTGTGTTTGTGGTGTGGGAAATTCTGTTTGTGTGTGTGCATAAAACAATCTCTAAAAACTATAATTTGACATGTTTTTACGGAAAAAACCGGCGCATCAAAAAGATTAGGATTCATTGACAAAACATCAAAACAGTTCTTAAAATTGTCTTACGTATTTAGAATTCCATTAGGTTCACATCTGAACTTTATTCATTTTACAAATTCATTCTTATATTAATTATAATTATTGTTTATTATATATATATATATATATATATATATATATATATATATATATATATATATATATATATATAATGAAAAATCGGTTTGATAATCAGTAGGGATAATTCCAAAAACGCTATAAATCCAAAGATTTGGATTTATAACATTTCTCGGATTGAGGAATCGGACAGCCGAATTCGAATTCGTTGAATCCATTACATTCACTTACGTGCTAATACCCATGGTAAGGGATGAATCCTTATTTTCTCCCCCAGCTATGGCTAAATAGCAAGACAGATAAGGTTCTATAGCCTTGGATGACAACTAGTTTACCGCAGAAAGAAATGGCAACCTACTGCGAGAAAAAAATCTGCCTAGTCAGTTATATATCGAAAGATACATGAAAGCCTAAGCGTGTATCACGCATGACACATAACTGACTTTGGAATTATCCCTACTATTTATCGCCGCTTTCATCATTATTATATTTGCTATGTTCTTACAATGAGCTCTCTTTGGATTCATATCCTCTTTTGAATTATCCCTGCTAATTATCTAATATATATATATATATATATATATATATATATATATAGGATTGGTGCATACGGAATAAATTCAATAACCAAAAATACTATTCTTAAAAGAGTGCTCAATTAAGAGTAGAACAAAGATAATTCATTCGAAAATTATAACATATCTATGATTTTATAACATATTTATGCTATAATTTTCGAATAAATTATATATATATATATATATATATATATATATATATATATATATATATATACATATATATATGTGTGTATATATACATATATATATATATATATATATAAATATAATATAAAAGTGAACATTGAAGTCAACACTAAGAGGCGACAGGCTGTTTCATACTAGACGCAATCATCAGGCCGCCTGACGATTGCGCCTAGCATGAAACAGCCCAAGTCTCTGATTGTTGACTTCAATGTTCACTTTTATATTTATATTTATATACACTCTATCTCTGATATTGAGCACTTTACCCCATAAATATTCCACACCTTAAAACTATATTTCTTTATAATATTATATATATATATATTGTTAGGGCGCATATTTTTTATTGAGATTTCTTTAATATTCAGGACGGTAGATGTAAATAAATAAATATACTGTTTAATGAACAAATAAAAACAGCGCATCTACTCAAATAACATTTCCATTAAAAATAACGTTAAGCAAATATATTTAAAATATATACCTAATGTATATGTCTGTGCGTGTGTGTGTATATTCGTTTGTGTGTGTGTGTATCTGTGTTTGTCTCTGTGTTTGTCTGTTTGTGATATAGCAATAGTGTGGGAGGGGAGACAGAGAAAAAGTAAAAAAACAACAAAAAAAAAAACCTCAAATTGTTCTGAATGTTACCAGTAGGGATCGAACCTAGTTCTCTTGCGTATGGTCAATTCAAATGGTTTGCAAGGCTAATGGCTAAAATCACTTTCTCATTTTCTTTCTCTTTTTCCGTCACACATGCATACCTCTTTTGTGTGTGCAATACATTCACGATCTATCATTTAAAAAAATTAATATGTAATATAATTTCTATTTAATTTATTCGTATGAAATACAACAATGCATATGTAATTTTTTTTGTCGTTCCAAATAATTTAGTCACTCGCCACAGCCTTTCACTATTCCCTAATTTTTTTCTTAGATCATAGGACTCAATGATTATGACAATTTTCCGGTCTGAATTTTCATAGATTTTTTTTTTCTTCAAAGAAACCATGTGCTCGGAAATTGTAAAGTTATGTATCTGCCTGTGGCACAAGTAGTGTATTATTATCAGTAGTAGCAGCTGCTGACAGTCATCCATTTAACCAATGACTTAAAGTGCCAACCAGGATATTAAAAAAAAAGTTTGTAGAGAGGGAGGGAGTTAAAAAAAAAAAAAAGCAGCTACCACTACGGAGGGAAATCACGCTTCTAAAAATAAGAGCCTAAATAAATTCAGTGTGTTTCTTGTCTGAGATCAATTGAACAAGTTGGAGCCGTGACAATAACATTGAAAACTCGCGCAGCAGAGGCCGACTTAAAAGATAACAAAGACTGAACAAGCCTTTTATAAAAGAACTTATATTTATTATTTAAACAGAACTAAAAAGAACCAGAAACTATCAACATGCTTTCTTTTATTGATTTAACGCAGGCTGAAACAGTGAAAGCTGGAAAAACGGAGAATTCAAGTAACGACAGTGTTTCAGAATCAACGAGTGGTTTTTACACTCAACTCCTCATCGGAGTGTACATGCTGTATTTAGCTGTACAATTGTATAAACATGATATTAAGATCTGTTGGTCCCTTCTAATCAAGCTGATCACACTGTCTATTATTTATTGGACATTGACGTATTCGAATCCCCAAGAACCGAACTGCTATGGCACCACCATTTTCATCACGACGCTTGTTTTGGTTCACCAAAGTTTGGGCATCCCTCACTTGCCGGTACTCAACAAAGCTGTGATTATTTCAGGTAAATAAACCTTTATTTTTATTCTCTTTTCTATCATTATTAAATGACACGCATTTGGATAATTGTCGTATCATGGGTAGCAGTGGGTCTGCGAAACTTGAAGTCGGTCATAAGATAAATATTTTCAACTTTTCTTTATCGTGGTCTGTTTTTGATATCGAGCACATTCATTTCAAGAATCTGCGCACCTTTGAACGCGTTAAACTTTAGAAATTTACATGTTTTGTTAGCCATAAGCATATATAAATTTGCATATATATATATATATATATATATATAAAAAGAGAGAGAGAGAGAGAGAGATTTACATATATATATATGCACATTTGCGTATAAATTTGCATATATATATTTTTCTTAAAGTACTATAGTAATCTTAACGCAGGGAATATGGTTAGAAAATAAAACAGTAGCTTTAAATAGGAAGCATGATTATCTATCAGAAAATGCTTTATGAAATTGAAAGATAGAAATAGATAGACAGAAAAATAACCAAAAATTTAATTCATTAAATAAAGCTTACAACTTTTCGAAGATGCAAATCGATTATCGAGTCGGTCCAATCTTTTTGGGGACATTCTTACCTCGTACGGTTGAGATCAATAATGTATTAAATAATAGTAGTAATGATAATGACAAAGAAAGAAAATAAAAAAAAAACAAATACATCAACTTTAACCACCTTTGGCCGTTTAGATGAGTTGTATTTTATTTTTTACCGCTTTTATGGTTCACGATCAATGGTAGATGTACTGATAGAGCGGCTTTATTCAATGACTGACTAGCATAATCGAAAAACATTAATTGTTTTTTCCCCAACAATTTCTTTACTCTGAATGACGTCTTTCTCACTTTCTCTCTCTTTCTATTTTTTCTTTTTTTTTTGTTTCTTTTTCCCAAGGATAGTTATTGTAATTATATTATTTTACTTATATCTTATCTTTTGATAAATTAACTTACATGTTGCAAGAAACGAATGAAATTGCAGTGAAGCGTAAATATGTGTTAAATTTTCGGGTTAGAGTCCTACATTAGAATTTCTAATTATTTCTCAGAAAAAACATTTTTTTCTTCGAACGAATATTATTTTGCTAAATTCCCTAAAAAATTGAGACTAGTGAATTATTTTGATTGTACATCAAAGAAAAAGGACAGTTCAACTGAATTAACAAGTAATTATATTGTCGGCAATCTATGGTCTAATATTGCTGCAGTAATGGCTGTCATGGCTTTATGTAGGTGGTGTAACGGTTAGCTACTCAGATGGAAAAAATGGTGAACCGAATTTTTTATATTTTGTGTTTAGTGGATTCACTTTCGCGCAAATACCTTTAGATATGAATCCGTCAGAACTCGCTCTCAGCTATGGGTTAGATAGCATGTACAAGAATCTTTAGCCTCTGATGCTAACCAGTCTAAGAGAAGGAAAATTCTGAGTTCAAAGCCTCGTTAGTACGAGATTTGACTTGGCTATGTAGTGATACTCATCTACTGAACAGGAATCTTGAACTTAGATTGATTCAGAGTATTAACGTGTGTATGTTTTGTATTGGAGAATGAAGATGGTCCACAATAAACAGCAACCAGTTGGCTCTATCCTTTGGAGGGCAAATGTTCTGTGCATCTCTGTTCATGTAGAGGATTTGGGGGACAGTTTGAAGGATTACGCAACCAAGATAGTCACATCAAGATACTCGGGAACACTCAATCGGAGACCGCCTGGGTGGACTGGATTTTGTACTTCTATTGAGGTCCTACCTGTGTGGTTACGGTATGATTTTATCAAAATTAGTCACCGTGTCGCACACCTTGGGCTGTGCTGCTTGTACCTGGTATAGGCTTATCAGTCTGATATAATCAGTACAACTATTTTCGTATATTTGTATCTCAGCGTCGTTTTATTGGAACGCCACTCACTCACGTATTAATAATAATAATAATAATAATAATAATAATAATAATAATAATAATAATAATAATAGCTTTATCTATGTATAATGTGCGTGATATTAGTTTTTGTTTTTTTAAAAAAATAATCTGTGGAAAATGTCATGAAGCCATTTCTGACTTTAGGTCTCTGGTTAGGACCCGGAGGGAAATGTGTATGCAATAGAAATAATAATAATAATAATAAATCTAGCATATGTGTCTTTGTCGCTGGACATTTTCATTTTCTTCGTCTTTAATACTTACATTTTAAGTTTTGTTTCCTCCTTTCTTATTTTTATTTTTTATTTTGCTTATATTTTTACTTACGGGGTTGGCTCAAGTGCTAACTGTACAAAAACTCCTCTCTCTTTGTGATGTATTGGTTCGCTGACTAATTATTACGACTGAGTGAGTTTGACCCAAATGGTTACAGCAATACTTGTAATCACGTGTCCAAACAAAGCAATATTTAGTAAATAATAACTGAATAGAAAATGAAATCAGCTAACTGCGGTAGTTCGTTACGTTACGCACTAATAGTCTTGGTAATGTAGGGCTCCACTTGTCCGAATAGATTAAAAGTCAAACTGCAGATAATTCAACTTAGAGATGAGATGGATAGGACCTATTAACACGAGAAAAGCTGGGACAGACCTGTTGTCAGTTATGTGCCATGTGTGATATACATGCTTAGGCGACATTCTATCTTTCGATACATGACTGACGAGGCAGATTTTTCCCGCAGTAGGTTGCTATTACTTTCCGCGGTAGACCAGTTGCTATCCAAGGATATAGAACCCAGTTTGTCCTGCTATTTCTCCATAGCTGGAGGGATAAGATGATTCATAAATTTCCCAAGGTTAGTTGCATGTAAGTGAATATAATGGATTTGATTGGAATTCGAACTCGTCTCTCCGATTCCTCAATCCGAGCAGTTAAAGACACTTGAATAATTTATCTCCCACAAAACATATATATATATATATATATATATATATAATTCTCAAAATGTGTGTGTGTGATCGGATGCTGTTTATGCATTTCCACAGCTTTCATCCAAATTTGATGAAACTTCTTTTTGTTTGAGAGATAATTCTTCAGTGCCGGTTTTGAGTCCAAATTGTTAGCGACAATGGCTCTCTACTACTTCCTGTCCATTATAACTCTCAGCAACGTTTTACTATTTACTATCTGTTCTTCGATATATGTCTTTCATAAAAAACAAAAACAAAAAAAAAAAACAAAACTTTAATAAAAATGAATAGTTTACATTATTACAATATTATTATTTATTATTATACAGTTCCCTTTTCAGGGCCATCCCACTTCAAATTGTTAAAACATTTGGGGATGTGTCTCAGTTGCACCCAAATGTTGTTACTAATATTGATTTTCGGGTGGGCTGACTTTAAACTTATACTGCTGCAATTGAACGGCAAAAATTCACAGTAATGAAACACCCGGTCAAAGACGGGTTATACTGCTAGTATATATATATATTGCTTTCTTCTGATTTTTTTCCCTCCAGGAAATTCTTTCCTATTGTTTCTGTCTTTCCCTCACTTAACAAAACAGTAAAGAAAGACTTCCACTTTTCTTTTCTTTCTTTTACACACTTACATTTCTTGTTTCGCGCCTCGCCTTATAATCAGCAGTCGTTTCTGAATGAATCAGTAAATGTGATGAGTAGCTACTGTGGGAAAACCCCATGACCGTTTTCTCTCTCTCTACACTTAATTAGGTCTACTTATTTTACCAGGACTAACTGTTCTACCTGTTGATTGCTAAATCAGGTTATCATTTCCTACACGTCCAGACATTTTCGTTCCTAATTCTGTATCTTTGAAGCATTCGGAAGTAAATCATCATCATCATCATCATCATCATCATCATTTATTAATTTTTATTTAATTTTTTTGTTTATTTGAGAATTTAAGTTTGTTTATCACAGTTGAGAAACATACCGACTTTTTTTTATTTATCTTTTTTATTTATTTTTTGCATTTAAATCTATTTTAATAAATAGTCATTTATAGAATCAAATTTGATTTGAAATACACGTGTTGTCTTTGGAGAAATATACCGCAAATTGTGGCGTACAAGTTGAGATTTCAAGTCTAAAATATCATTTTGGGTTGAGTTTTCAAGCCTAAAATATTTTGGGGTCGAGTTTTCAAACCTAAAATATATTTTGGCGTCGAGTTTTCAAGCGTAAAATATTTTTTGGGGTCTAGTTTTCAAGCTTAAAAAATATTTCTGGGTCGAGGTTTCAAGCCTAAAAATATTTGGCGGGGTCACAGTTTTGTGTCACTGTATGTTTGGGTGTCAATCAAAGTACAGGCCTAACTCAGAATTTTAAGCTAAAATTTTGAGGTCGACTTGTACGCCGCAATTTAATGTAAGTTCCAAGGATTGAAATTGAGTTCTTTGTTAGCTTAGGAAAAGCTTAGTTATTTAAAGAAATTAGAGAAATCAAGTTTAATAAATAAAGTTCTTTTAAGAACTTATGCGACAGTAATTTCAAAACTGAAATTTTTTTGTCAACTTTATCAAGCGAAAAATTTCTTCGTAAATTTCAAATTCTTTATCTTATTTTATCGATTAGGTTGTGATCGTGGATTTGGCCATGCCCTTGCAGTTCGACTCGATCAAATGGGGTTTAAGGTATTCGCCGGCTGCCTTTTTAAAGGCGGGGAGGGCGCTGAAGCGTTGAAAGCAAAGTGCTCAAAGCGCTTACACATCCTACAACTCGACGTGACCGATCCAGAACAGGTGGACTCTGCTTTCATAACAGTTAAAGAGAACTTAGAAAACTACGGTAAGTTTCTTCTTTAAAAAAGCCAAACCTCTTTGACGATTATCATAAGACTAGTTCAGTCCTCGACACTTCGTTGATGGACAGATAATTAAATTTTAAATTTAAATTGTTTATTCATGTAAAATATAACATTTATTAGAAAATATATTCAGTTTAAATTCATGAGTCATAAAAAATATTTCGTAGGGTCTCACAATTAGTCTTATACTCTTTTCCTGTTACTCAGGTGTTGTTGCCAGAAATAAATAGCTCTCAAAACATAGATGAACACTTCAATATAATTCAAACTGCGTGTATACTTGTTTAAATGAGCGCATATATATTTTAATTAATGAAAAAAACCCAAAATATTTATACAAATTTAAAGAAATAATGTAAAAAATAATCATATTTATTATCAAATAACTTCCAAAAATTCCAATAGAAAATCATAATTATCTAATTTTTAGGGTTTAATTTTTTTTTTCTTATCGCCAAATTTATCGTTTTTTTGCTCAGCCCAAGTCAGTTGTTGTCCAAACTGAGTAGGAGAGAGAATATATTACTCTAATTTTTTTTTCAAACCTAGTCAAATTGTGTGTGTTTATGTATGTGTGTGTGTGTATGTATTTATCTATACATTAAATGACAATTACATGTAAATCACACACTCAAAATGTGCATGCAAAATCCGATGAAAATTATTTTCGTTTATTTATATCTTATTTTCTTTTATTTTAATTTCCCCTTTCTTCAGATCTATGGGGTTTGGTGAACAATGCAGGAATATGCTACATTGGAAATTCCGAGATGATTCCACGAGAAGATTCTTTGAAAATTATGGACGTCAATTTTCGAGGACCATACCTATTAACTACAAAATTCTTGCCTTTGCTGAGAAGGAACCAGGGACGCATTGTTAACGTTTCGAGCAACGCTGGTCTCGCCCCTGTTGCCTTGATGGGCCTTTACTGCTGTTCAAAATCTGCCCTCTTCATGTACACAGAGGTGCTCCGCACAGAAAATGAAAGATGGGGAGTCAAAGTGTCGGCTGTCATCCCAAGCGGATACAAAACCGGTAAGTCTTCGTTCATTTTCGATTTAGAATCTAAACAAAATGGGAAGAAAGGAACTCAAAATCAAGGAGAGACAGTTGAAATTTTCTGGGACACGTTATAAGGAAAATTGAATGCTCATAGGGCATATGGAGGTAGAAGGGGTAGAAGAATGCGAGAAACTTAACTAATGAGTATGTGTATCTAGATGACAAAGCAGGGACAATGAGTGTTCTTAGAGTTAAATATTGCTTAAAGCTACAAGAGCCATGATATAATGCTTTTTAACAGAGTATTTATTAGAATACATTATATAGAGTACGCTACATATATAGAGTACATTATATAGAGTACATTATCTAGAGTACGCTACATATATAGAGTACATTACAGTACGCTACATATATAGAGTACATTATATAGAGTATATTATATAGAGTACGCTACATATATAGAATGCAATATATAGAGTACCCTACTAACAGAGAGTTCATTAGATAGCGCACGCTACATAATTTTAATGGTTTTTGTAGCTTATTTTAAAAGTAAACAAAAAGTCTCATGTGGTCAAATTCAGTATTTAGCTGTGCTTGGTTTCCAAAAGTAGCCGAATACTTTCCTGTAAACCATTATTATTATTATTATTATTATTATTATTATTATTATTATTATTATTGCAGGCATCATAGCTTATGACAAAGAAAAGATGGCTGAAAAATGGTGGGCGCAGGCGCCTAAAGTGGTTCAAGAAGACTTTGGCAAAGCAGCTTTCGTCATCAAATCCAAAGCTGGAGGTACTATTTCCACTTTTGTTTTATTTGCAGTTGTATTTTTCATATTTTTTTTGTGAAAAAAGCTCATTTTTCCTATTACCTTTGATTAATATTTATTTTTACCTTAATTTCTTATTTATCTTATATCCCGACCTTCAGTCTACAGCAATTTTTTTTCTACCGAGGGCTTGATTAAAGTTTTGATAAAAATTGAGATGAAAGTAAATACTAGTTAAAAATCAGTAATATTTCTTACCATTTACTTCGCATTTTCTTATTTAATGTGGATTTTATTGAGGAGACATTTCCCTGTGTGAATTTTACTAATTCATAGTCGTCAAGTTATTATTAAATACTACATCTCTTCATTTATTATTAAATACTACGTCTCTTCAGGCCGTAGAAGTACAGGCTCTGCACAGATTCCCTTTATTTATTATCTATGAATTGGAATGACATTTGGGAAAGATAGTAGTATTTTGTGGCAAACTCCATGATTCACTGTTTGTTTTTTCCTCTTAGAATAGGATAGAAAACCTGAGCTACTCTAAGATTTAACCCATAGCATAAGTCGGGGTGTGAAGATACGGTTTCATGTTCGTAAGCGAAAGTGAACGGTACAGATTAACCTGGAATTGAACCCAGCTTCCGTGCCGATACCCATTACACTACCCACACATCTATAGTCATTAAAGCAGAATAAATCAAAATATTTGAAAAGTAGCGAATACAACACAAGCTTGAACTTATGCCGTTATACTTATTTCTTGCAACGTTTTTGTTTTCCAGATTCCGATGATATGCTCTCAAAAGACCTCTCTCCGGTAATCAACGCCATGGTGGACGGCCTCCTTTCCGCGAACCCTAAGCAAATCTACTACAAAGGTTTCCTGGCTCGTTCATTGCCCTTTCTTTACTTCCATTTACCCAGGGTCCTCCGCGGTCCTGTTATGGGCGTTCTGGCTGACTGGTTCGAGTTCCATCCTGCTTGCTTAGAAGATGATCAGTCGTAGACACATAAAAGAATTTGTATTTTTTGGGAAAAAGAAATTTTCTTGTTGATCCAACTGTTTAATGTCTCTTTTGTGGTGACATTGTTGGTCGTGTATTAGCAGGTCCTAGCCTGTAACACTTTGTATGTCCAAAGGAGAGGTTAGATTTTACAGCCGTTATCATGAGTGCATGTATTCAGGGGAAGACGCTTCTTATGAAAAAAGTACGTTCAGAAATATAGTCATATATTGTGTGTGTATGTATGTTCAAATATTGGCATACATTATTTACAAGTATTTATAGCAAGCTTTTTATTTTACAAATATATATCTATTTTTGTATGTATTTTAAATGATAAAATTTATTTTATTCAATAGACTAATTGGTTTAAATAGCGTGGTGTATACGATTGAATGATTGTAGCTTATTTTATTTCAAAGTGAATTTATTATTTAGAAAACATGAAATACTGTAGAGAATGAAAACATTTTTTTCATTGTACTGATAAAGAATTTAAATATTGTGTCGGACTGAAAGATATATATATAGATACAAGCAAACTGTTTTTGAAAATACTCTTGAATGTAATTGGTCCTAATGTGAAAAATACTTCGCACTAGAGCGAGAATTGAACTCGTTAATCATTTTTCATTTTAAACAAACGATCAAAATCAATATTCGTATTCAAGTAGATGCCTGTTTTGCAGCATATCTGTATTTAACAAAGAATAGTAAATATCTATTTTGTAAAATGGACACGGAAAATTATTTTAAATATAATATTTATTTACAAATGCTTTTTATTTTATTTGGTTTTAGACAATGAACTAAGTATTTTTGTACTGCGCACCACGTTGTTTTTTTTTATAAACAAAGATGAAATTTTCCCCAAAACGATAATTAAATTCTTTAGAAAATGATCCATTAAAAAGGGAAAAAAACAGCTTGTATCTATATATTTCTTTACTTTTTTTTCTTTGTATAAAATATTTATATATATTCATTAAATTACGAATCTTTACATTTTCTGGAAACGCGGTCAAGTGTGCTGTATACATAAAAAAAAAAATGAAATAATACGTAAAAGATAAAAAGACATTCTCATAAATATACATACACACAGTACACAAACTCCAGAAAAAAAATGATTTTAACAGATTTATTTCAAGTAAAAATCATTTGAAATAAAATTAACGAATTTTCAAGGAGATTGTCGGTTGAAAATTCCCCTTTGATGAAGCATATTTGAAAATAAGTCCTACTTTCATCTGGCTGTGAAATCTAATATTTTTAAAACAAGATTTTATTTTATTTTTAACTTTGTAAAAAAATGCTTTAATTTTTATTTTATATGCTTTATTTTGAATCGAACGCTAGGAATTTTTGTTTCGGATTCACAAACGATTTTTTTTATATCGTTTTAATAATATGTTTTATAAAATACGAAACGAAACAAAAATCTAGCAACCAATTTAACCGAGCAAGAAATTATTGAAGTCTTATTTGTATTCATCGCTTATTTTACTAATTTTATTTATCTATACATTTTATTTTTGCTTTTTCATTTATTTATTTATTTATTTATTTATTTCGCTTTTAAGAGATTTTTAGACAAGTTTGGAAGTGTACCGTGTTGATGTCTGCATGAGTAGAATAACATTTAGAGACAATGAAAAGGAATTTCTTCCTCCAGTTTAACTTGATTTTTGAAACATTTAAACATTAAAATATCATACACATTTTACTCCATATGATTTACTTTTATTTATATTTTAATAGAATTATTTTTGAAAAGTATTCTATGTTATTTCGAATACGTAAAAGCATTGATAATGGTCCCCAAATTACATTCTGATCAACATTGACATCTTCATGGGAACTGGCGTCATAATCCTTAGAACGATTATCCCCAGTAATAATTTGGTGATAAATAATTTATAATTATTTGCCAGTCTTCATCTCGCAACAATATTGTCATCTTCATCACAAATCAACAATCTCTTTATTTAAACAAAAAAAAAATCATTGTTCATCTTATAGTTTATTATCATTTTTCTTTCAAAAAAGGAAGCGTCATCGACTGTAGAAGCAAGTAAGGTGCATTTTCATACCATAAATTACATATCAGTATTTTTATACATACTCTTAACGGGGAAAGAAAATAAAAGGCATAAGAAGCGATGAATTGTTCTGCAATATAAATACCATGTAGGCAGGGCGCCATAAAATAAAAAAAAGGACTTAGTATGCGGGTGGCTGTTAAATCTGATGTCAAGTGTTAAAGATTTTTAAATTTATTGTAATGACAAAAGCACGCAGGTGTAGGCTTTAAGGAAGATTTATTCAATACAAGGTTCGCGTATAGTGTCCTTTTATAGTACCAGTAAACAGAAATAGCTCTCTCAAAATTAGACGATTTGTTTTATTTACTTGTTTTATTACTCATGATTATTTATAACATCTATGTTTTCTTTCTTTAAATCTGATTTTATAAAATTAATATTTTTCTTAAATATATTTTTGTTTAAATATTAAATATACAATAATATTTTTTTACTTGTTTGTATTTTCTGGAACGACTTCAAATTTTCAGACAAAAACAGTGGAAATTAAGTTTTTTAAAATTTATTTTGAAAATTAAAGGCACTAATGATTTTAGACAAATGATAGCTTTATCATATAACGAGGCCAAGGGAACAAATTTGGTCTTCTCTTAAGTTCTCAGCAAATGAAAAATTGTTAAATATATCCAATTTTTATTTTTATTCATCTTTTGAGCAAAAATAGAATATTTATAGTTATTTCTATATTATATTAAATATATTTCAGAAAAAAACATACGCAATTAAGACGAATGGTTTATTAAGACAAAATTATTTTAACTACCTATGTGATTAAATCCCGCGTAGCAAATGCCGTAGAAAAGTATTGTGCTAACATTTATGTGTTTTATAAACGCCAACAACTTAACAACAATGATGGTTAAATTTAAACTAGTTGTAACCTTAGAGAATGTTATCTTGCAGGAGATAAATCTTTAATATGACAATTAAATTCATTAGCAAAAACGAAAAATGAAATGTTCGAATTTCGTTTCCAAATTTGATTCTGTTTTTATGTCCTTTATTTTCTTCGATCCATCGTTAACATCAAGCAACGTATACTTCCATTAACACTTAGTCCATTGATTCATTTAAAACAAACACTGCCGTTATCAACATCCTTAATGTTGGTTTATTCTGGTGCTAAAGAATAATTTTTGTACATTTATATTGAATAATGACTATATGTATATTATAATGCTATTTGTTTATTTTTTTTTAACAATGATCGGGAGGTCATTTGTAAAAATGCTTTTTTTTTACCTTCAACATTTACAGTGGATTTATGCTTTTGCCCGTAAATTCGTTTTTGAATGATTTTTACAACGTTCTACTGTTTTGAATATTACTAAAAACCTTGTTATTTGTTGAGAAATTACGTTACATCTATTGTTACGTTCTTTTATTACTACTTTCGTTTATTTAAAGAAATTCATACAATGAAACACAATAATACTTTTGTATAACTTTCTGTCACATACATAAAATTGAAATCTGGTAAAGTTTAAAAATCGTCAAATTATTCCAGTTTCTCATCAACAAAAAATATTATGAGTGATTTAAATCTTGTTACATGTTTTTTTCTTTTTCTTTTTTTTCAACCATAAATCGAAGAAAAAAATGTTAATATAGTTTTATAAGTATAAACTGTTACTACTAAAGAAATAAAAAAAATGATGCAATTTTATGAAAACGGAAAAAGTTACATAACGTTTGTTGTATGAAACTAAAAAAAAAAAACAAACTTTCAATACAAATTTTGCTAGCATTTGTGTATTGACATGAATGCAAACCTGGGGTAAAAATGAATGTTTTTTTTTTACTTTTTCATTCGAATTTGTTAAGATCTGTCTCCATGTTTATTATTATTTATAAAACAGAGATGGGTGTCAATGGTCAGCGACCAAAACCAAAAAAAGTATGTTCTACTGAAAAAAAAAAAAAAAAAGACAACACAAAAACACAACAGCAGCAAATAAACAATTTAAATACATCTGATTATATATTTTTGTCTTTATTTACACATTTCAGAAAGAATGCATGTTGTCTTTTTTATTTAATGGTTAAATGCTATAAATCGAGTGCTTGTTTTAATCATTTCACCCCAAGTAATGCGGGAGTGCCACTAGAACGCAAACGGTTACAGTGAGTGGGAGCAAGAGTAAAGCGGCGTGATAGAGTAAAAGATGAAGAGAATGACGTGGAATACATCAACGCATCTGGAGATGTCAATTGACTTTGCATTTGAATAACTGAAAGTTATAGCTATCAGGGAACCAAGTAAGAAGAAGGGAGTTCCATACATGGTAAGTGCGAGACATGAAGCTATTGGTATAGGAGAGACGGTTACATTTAACTGTTTCGACAGTGAAAGGGTGGGATTGAGATGCCAACCTAGTTGCACGTTTAAATCCATGCAGTTTGCGAACCAGCGAAAGTAGCTCGTCGGTGCAGTTACCTTGAAAGTATTTGTAGAAAAAAGCAGAGGGAAGCGACGGCACGTCTGTGAGAGAGCGACTGTAAACCAATCATATTGCATATCCGTCTCTGGATTTTGTCGAGGACCTTAAGACGAATAGCGGGGGTGGGGGGAGCTCCAGACCATATATAGCAGCAGTATTCCATGCAAGGGCGAATGGTTGATTTTTGGATTTGAAGGATGGACTCGGGCGAGAAAAATCTTTTTGATGCGACACAATGTTTCTTGCGCTAGATGAAGCTATTGATTCAATGGATTTGTTCCACCTCAGCGGACAGTGTGAGACCAAGCATTTGCAGAGAGGTGCTCTCGTGGAGTTGAGCATCAGGCATTCTAATGGAAGGGTTCTCTGTGGTAGGTAAATCTTAAAACTTTTAGCTAAATACATGTAATTTAGTCATCTCTTGGGAAATACACTCTAACATTACCTGATGCTACG